GAAACAAACCTCAGTCTTTTGCACACCTTTTTTTCCAAAATATTCAATGTGATGTTTTATTTTGTTAATGGAACGTTTCACACTATTTATGAGATTTTTTTTAAAAAGCTTCCATGATATCAAAACACGAAGTTGCAATAAAATATGCATTTCTATATTCTCTGCACTTTTGAATATTAGAGTCCTATTTTACCAAAAAGCATTAAACAATTTAATTCACATGCACTCTGCACTTTTTGCACGATGCAATTTATAAAATAAAAAATGTGTTGCTAGAATTTTTCAGCCTGTATTTCTTGTTCGTTTTCATGAATCCATAAATCTCAAAATGTTTTTTTTTTCTTCATAAACCAATATGAAATTCTACTCTGAGGTGGACTCATAATGAGAGATATGAGATTATGTCTTTGAATGAGAATTACAACTAAAACTTTACTTAAATCAGCATTCTAAATATTACTTTTACTAATACTTGTATAATACTAATAGCAAATTAAAATGAATAGTAATATCAGTTGGGAAAAATGTAATTATATAATTCATTTTAGATGAACATGCTGTTCTCTCTTAACCATATTTGATTGTTGCAAGAGAATTTGTCTCAATTCTATTACACTTGTTTAAAATAGTTTTACATCACTGAAACATCTATATTAAATCCCTCCAGTGCAATGGAAACATAATTAACTGTAATAAATTTATTTTTAGTTAATATGTATTCAGCATGCTTGTTGATTTAACATGTGAAATCTAGGTTCAGTACGCAGGTTTATGTCATTAATTACAGGTTTTTCTTGTTTCCCGTTAGTCGCTATTTGGATGTTTTTCTCCTTACCTTGGCGTCACTGTATAATATTAAACCAAAGAATGCAGGCATGTAATATCTCCCCCTCACATTTCCACCGGTTCCCTGCGTCCCGGAACAAAAGCCTGTAGGGAGGCATTAGATTAGTGCTGCTTTGCCCGCTGGTTAACGGGAGGGAGGACACGGGTTTTGAACCTTTGACCACCGAGCTAAACAGACCTTTCATTTGGTCCATTTATCAAAAGTGGAACAATATGTAACTGTTTTACCAGAATCAGAGCACATGAACCATAAATCACACAGCCAAGCGTCAGCGTTTGAAATGACGAGTTATATTGGAAAACCGAGAACACTGTACACAAAAAACACATTCACTGCAAGTGATCACACTAAAAGAAACCGAAAGACGTACCATTCAACAGCTGTCCTTTAAAGAAACATCACACCACTTTAAATGAAACAGTCCAGTATCACTAAATGCTTCATGAAAATGTGAGCAGCTGATTTACCAGCAACTCATGTTCAGTGTACTAAAAACTACGTTTCAGTTTGTCAGGTTATGGACGGTTTTCATAAGCAGATGGTGTTCATGTAAATCCGCTGTACATTCTTCAATATAAATAATACGTTTCACATATACAGTGTCTCATGCTGCAACATAAATATTCCAATGCTATTGTTGCCGTTAAAAACAGCCAACAAGAACATAACGAGTTAAAAGAAGTAAATAACTACACGTATAACAAGAGAGCTAATTACAACAACAGTCATGTGACCAACACATTTAGTATTTTACAATAAAGCACAATTAGCAACACGTTGCCAAGTGTACACGTCCTGTAACATTTAGGGGGTATTTTTAATACTTTGTGCTCTTTTTCTTGTCAGTACTAAAGTGATAGATGTCATATTTATTATCAACCCTGTAACTGTAAGGCTAACTAACCCTGTAACAGCAGTAACCCTGATTATTTCCTCATCTCAGTTTGGAGATTGTAGCACATTCCTACATTTTACCTGATGCCTAACCATCTAAAGCCTACAGTCAGTGCTGCTGCAGAAAAATTCAAGGCCCTTGATAGTTTTCACCTCTCACTTTTTTTTATCAGAGGAAATCTACCCTGTGTCCAAAACCTGAAATTAGAATGGAAAAAAATCTCTTTTGTGGTTTGGTTACATCATAATTTTCCATATTTGTCAAACCTCGCTTTAATCGAGCAGGGATGTGTGTTTTGATAGTGTTGACTGAGCACTGTGGTATGTGTGCCTCCTTTGCTCTCTGAACCCTGTCAAGACTCCCTCACTGATATTTTCTTTGAGATATATACTTCAGCTTTGACGTTTCATTATTTTGTGGTTTCTTAATTTTTTTTATTTTTATATTTTGTCTCTTTAATTGTGTAATGCACAGTTAAGGCGGCTTGAAAGTCCCTGTCTGAGAAACTTACAATAGTTAAAAACCTACCTAAATTAAATTTCTTCAGAGAAAATACTGCAATAGCTGTTGACATTTTTCATTTGTGAAAAGAAAAAATTAAAGTTACATTTGTTAAAGGCACATGCAAAAAATCTATACTTTTTAAAATAATGTGCTAATATACATTAACATGAAGACTCATAAAAGCTATTTTACATTTTCTACATTTTTATATTTTCTGTTTTCATTTTAATTAAAGTTTTAGTAATTTAGATGCGTTTTTGCCATCTTAGTTAGATTTTTATTTTTTTTTAATGTCTATACTTTTTATAAATTTTTTTTTTTTTGGTAATTATTTTAGTACATCAAGTTAAACTAAATGAAAATGAGAAATGTTGCCATGGCAACTAGATAAAAAAAAATTCAATTAACGTTTATTTTATTTTATAAGTAATGAAAAGCCTTTCGTTTTAATCAATAACCTTGCTTTTGCGTTTGCTGCATCCACACCACTAGGTGTCAGTGTAAGTCCAGGATAACTGCTATATTAGTCAGCTCAACATACAAAAACTGAGTGCACCTTTAATAAACATCGTTTCTTTTACAAGAAATATTAATGTACATTTGACTTACGCCAGCATGCAAGACTCTTTTGGTTTTCACGTTAGCTTTAAATAAAAGCTGACTCAAGACGGACATTAAGATGGCAAGGCAGTAGGGAGAGAGTGACATGAAATTGACTTGGGCTATGTCTGAAATCACCCCAATAACCCTTTATCGTGTGCTATTTGAGGGGACAGCCATTTGAAGTGGTGTCCAAAATCATATTGGAACCATGTTATTTTAATGTATTATCTTAATTATGAACACACTGGTTTGTAGTGCAAACAGTTTTACCGTTTACTGCACTTTTGTTATTCTTCTCGTTATTTCCCTAGAGGCTAATGAACCAGAAGTCTCCCACATTCACAGAAAACGGCTTACATCCACGTTGAAAAATAAGGTGGATAGAGAGCTGCAGTGATGACGTATTTTTGCAGGTCAGTCCAGAAGTTTGCATAACCCTGGTTCCTTCAGCAAAAACCCAGTAGCATTTTTTTAATCGCATAAAATAAGCTCGGTGGCCAACAAAAGTGTATGATTCCTACATGTTTTGTTCATCACGATAATCTTCACAAATGAACACAACTTTTATGAATTTTGAAGCCTAAATACAACCGGCTGAAGTATAAATCTAAAAAACATCTTCCCTAAAAGTTTGCGTTAGCGATTATAAACACAATGAGGCTATGAAAGCAACTATTTCGACCCAAATATGCATTTAGCCACTCGTAACAACCGCAGTTTTCAAGTCACTTAAAAGCTTAAAAAAGGAATTACTGCTTTATTTTATGTTGTGGAATAAAATGTGAAAATATTTTGCGCTTATGTTAACCACAGACCTCATTTCGGGCATTTCACCAAAAAATCATTAAAAAAAAACAATTGACTTCAGAACAGTGAAACCGGAAGTGCTTAAATAATAATTTGTTTCTGGGTTTTAGCTTGCAACAATATGTCACTGCAGTGCTCTGTAGTGAATGAGGTGAGGTAACACTTACATGAACATTTGCCCATTGATGTCTGTTATGTGCCTATGACCATCGCAAAAAAACGTTAGAACGAAACGTTTGGAAAAAATAGTGCATATGTATGATTTAAAACATGTTTTTCCAGTGAGTTCCCATTCTGTCCATGTCAAATTGAATTTTTAGGGTGTGACCCTGTTTTGGTTTGGTTGGTTAGAGTTTTATTGGCACGACTAATGCCGAGTTCACACTGCACGATATAAGGAAATAACGCGAGAACCCGCGTGCGTCAGACCGGAGTTCTCGCAAGCAAGACCGCAATTATAAAAAAAACAAAAAAAAACAAAAACAAAAAAATATATATATAAGCACCGATTTGCCTCCGATGTCGGGCATTTGTCGGCGATTTCGCAAAACCTGTCGGCGAGTGAAAAATCGGGCTAAAATCGTGCAGTTTGAACTCGGCATAAGATACGATTGAGGGATTCAATTAGTTTTGACGATGAAAGACGCCTCCAATGAGACTCAATCTACTTGTTGCCCCCTGCAGTGGTGGAGGAGCGCTTTAGGTAGGTGGAACCAGGGTCATGAGGTAAAGTAGGAGTTTTGCATCGAGTAGAGGCGATCAATGGGATTTCCTATCCGTCCTGCCAGAACTCCAATGTCGGCAGTCGACAAGAGACAGTCCCCGAGATGACTGAGGCTTCCATCGCTGTCCAAGTCATGGAAAACTGTCTCGGAGTCTGAAATGAAGTCAGCGTTCAAATGCAAACAGTAACTGAAAAAAAAACCAATGCTGAAGTTGATGCAGTGGGAAATCCTTACCGTAGGAGTGCATCTGCTCGGGGCCTAGCTGCGGTGGCGTGAGCCCGTGTCGGAACATCTGTTTTCCCTAAAAGTATCTATGTATCTGTCTGTCTATCTTTCTGACTGTGTCTGTCTGTCCATCCATCTGTCTTTCTAAAAGTGTTGCTCTTTTTTCTGTCTGTCTTTCTGGAAGTATCCATCTAACCATCCATCAGCTCATTAGGCCTATAAACATTTCTCCCAAAACTTTCAAAGAAGGCTTTGTCAAGCCAACATTCAAAATGTAATTGACAAGCATTTTCTTTTTTGTCAAAGATCTACAGCTACATGAAGTTCTATGATTTTCAGTTCATTTTAAATCTGCTCTCTTAAGCCATGTTCTAAGCCTCAGAAATAACACAAACACTGAAAACTCATTCATTGATAGAACAAGGATGGCGTTTTTGCTTTTCTACCTAGGTAAATCATGATGAAGCAAGATCTAGTGTTTCAAACAGGAACGTTTTCAGAATTGATCAAAACATGATGCCAGCCTACCTTTGCTCTCTGATTTTGGAACCACACCTGCACGACTCTCACCGTCAGTCCAGTCTCAGCTGCCAGAGTTTCTCTGACCTGCAACAACAGTATATGCATGAGATGTACATACAGTACATGCTGTTTCCACATATAACGCACACGAGCGGCCTGTGACTGCTGACCTTTCGGCAGGGTTTGGAAGACACCTCGAAGGAAGCCTTGAAGGCGCGCCGCTGTTGTGTGGTCAGGATGGTTCGTGGTCTCTTGGATCTCTTGTGCTCCTTCCCATCATCCCCAGCCTTCCCCCCAACAGAGACACCACCACCATCCTCATCCTCACTCTTTACTGCAAAGGGAAACTGAGCATTGGCTTAAAGGTGAAGAGAGTCATTTCTGGACTATGTTAACATCTCTTCTCCTGTAATTATACACGACCTTCAGCGAGGTCACTGAGGTTACCTGACTCGGTAGGGGCCGGACTGATGGCAGCCAGCATCTCTCTCTCCTTCTCATAGTCTCCCCGGCAGAGCAGCTGTCCCTCCTTTAGCACAAACTCATCACCTCTCTGCAGCCGGCGCTCACACTCGCAGCAGCTGAAGCAGCCCAGGTGGTACACCTGTCCCAGCACACGCATGATGAGCTCCGAGCGGCTGATCGCCTGCATACAGGCACTGCACTTCCGCACAAACAACCTACACACACACAAACACATGTGCACATGTTATTGATATGTGTCTGAATGTTCACTTTATGCAATGTTTTGTCTGTAACACCGGGTGGCAATATTTGACAACAGACTAGATGTCACACAAGCAGCTAAGTAAAAATTTATCATTTAACTAGTGTTGTCAACCAATTCAACGCAATTAATCGCATCCAAAATAAAAGTTTTTGTTTACATAATATATGCTCATTCAAAAAAAGCCATTGACTTCAGGACAGTGGAAGTGGAAATGCTAAAATGCCAACTTGTTTCCAGGGTTAGGCCTACAAAATACGTCATCACTGCAGCACTCTATAGTGAATAAGAGTATAGGGGGTGATTTCGGATACAGCCTTGATTAGTTTGTTAGCTGTGCAGTGAGCAGAGTTTTGAGGTAACACTTACACGTCATGAACAGCTTCCTGCTGATGTCTGATACACGCCTATGACTGTCGCAATAATGTTTAAGCAATACAGAGCAAAAAAAATAGTGCATATATGTGATATAAAACATGTTTTTCCAGTGAACTCCCATTCTGGCAATGTTAAATTGAATTTTTAGGGTGTGATCCTGTCTTGGTTTGGTTGGTTAGAGCTTTATTGGCACGACTAAGATACGATTGAGAGATTCAATTAGTTTTGATGATGAAAGACGCCTGCAGTGAGACTCAATCTATTTGTTGCCCCCTGCTGTGGTGGAGGAGTGCTTAGGGAGGTGGAACCAGGGTCATGAGGTAAAGTAGGAGTTTTGCATCGAGTAGAGGCGATCAATGGGATTTCCTATCCGTCCTGCCAGAACTCCAATGTCGGCAGTCGACAAGAGACAGTCCCCGAGATGACTGAGGCTTCCATCGCTGTCCAAGTCATGGAAAACTGTCTCGGAGTCTGAAATGAAGTCAGCGTTCAAATGCAAACAGTAACTGAAAAAAAAACCAATGCTGAAGTTGATGCAGTGGGAAATCCTTACCGTAGGAGTGCATCTGCTCGGGGCCTAGCTGCGGTGGCGTGAGCCCGTGTCGGAACTGCTCGCTACCGTATATGTTGGGATCCAAAGCCAGCAGTTGTTGGCGTGGCAGAGAGGAATATGAGAGCAGCGCGTCCAGTCCGTGACTGCTGGAGCCATCTGTGGAGAGACAGAGCCGGGTTCACACCTTTCATCAAGCCATTTTACACAGTTGTGTCCGTGTCTTACCCTCGCTGTCATCGTTACTCTGGCGGCCCCCTCTGCTCGGGCCCCTCCTGGTCCCGCCCATCTGCTCCTGTTCTTGCTGTTGCTGCTGCTGCTGTTGTCTGCGAGCGATCTTCTTCATCTGAACTCACAAAAACAACAGTTTATTGAAGTCCACTGGTCCTGGAACAACATTCCCATATAGTAGTACTTGTCAAACAAGCTCCGAAAGTGCGTTCACAATGACAGCGATTAATTTGAATTGAATTAGTAACACTCATGGGTGTTGAATATGTGGGGGACGTGGGGTCGTGTCCCCCCTCTCTTTTAATAAAACGTAAATTCGTCCCCTGCACTTTTTTCGGCCAAGTGTGTTCACGTAGAGGTTTTCAAGGAAGCAGTGTGAATAAATCTAAATTTAAATCTAGAGACAAGATCATCTATGCATGACCTGACATTTTATTTATATCCAAAATGAGGCAATGTTAACATTATGGAGTGCTAAACGCTCTCATGCAGTGTATGTTTCGTTCATACTCGAAGCTGGAAGGCGCTCTTGTGCAGAAATTAATAAAAAGAATAAAAAAATAAAACCTGTCAATAGACAAAAATAAATGAATAAATTATATATATAAAGTACTGTCAAACGATTAATCGCGATTAATCACATTCAAAATGAAAGTTATTTACATAGTATATGTGCGCGTGTACTGTGTATATTTACTATGTGTATATATAAACACATACAGTATATATTTTGAAAATATATATATACATGCATGTGTGTGTATTTATATATACATAATAAAGATACACAGTACACACACATATATTATGCTGTCAGTCACACAAGCAGCTAAGTAAAAATTTATCATTTAACTAGTGTTGTCAACCAATTCAACGCAATTAATCGCATCCAAAATAAAAGTTTTTGTTTACATAATATATGCATGTGTACTGTGTATATTTATTATGTGTATATATAAACACACACATGCATGTATATATTTAAGGAAAATATGTTATGTTTATATATCAAATATATTTATATATAATATGAATTACATGAATATAAATATATGCATGTAAATACATGTAAATATTTTCAAAATATATACTGTATGTGTGTGTATTTAGACATACATAATAAATATACACAGTACACACACATTTCATGTATACCAAAACTTTTATTTTGGATGCGATTAATCACGATTAATCGTTTGACAGCACTACATTTAACCCTTTAAAGCCTAGTGTATTATATATGATACACATTCCTAAGGCCACTAAATGATCAACATGATCAAAAACTCACTGAAAAAAATTCTGTTGTCTGATTGATACTTTTTTTGCAAGTAAAAGGCCTTTTAGTTTAATTCTAAAAATATCCACCTTCAGATCTTTAGTGATTTTTACAAAGTAAACAATAATAACTTTTGTATTGTTTTAGTAATATTTCAAAATGAACATTTACTAGATTGAATCAACTTAGGTTTAATCCATATAGCATTTTTTAAAAGAATAATTACGTTAAAATGTGAGTATCAAATATGATGCATCAGGCTTTTGAGGAATGTATAATTATTCGTCTCTCAGTCATCATTGTATTGCACTGCATTCTTTTTTTGAAACTAAAATCTACCAAGCTTTGATCATAAAAGCATACAAATATAATCTTTAAAGACAAATTATTGGCAATTTATATGCATTTATGTAAGTAGTCGGCTATACTTAAAAAAAGATATCACTTGAGTATGAGCTCCATATTCTCACTCTATATGAGTCATAAAAGCCTGATGTACCAAATATGCATATACTGAACAAAATACACATGCACATTTTTTCATTATATATACAGGTGCATCTCAATAAATTAGAATGTCGTGGAAAAGTTAATTTATATATATATATATATATATATATATATACAGTATATAGTCCAACCTAGGGCTGTGCAATTAATCGCATGTGATTGTCATGCGCATCTCGTCAGTAAAGCCAGTTCCGTGATTAGTAGTAAATCTCCATCACCTGCTTTCAGATGGAGTGGCATTTACTACACAGAGCCGTAGTTCACTGACAAGCTAGGCAACATCGCGTTCATAATTGAATGCGATTATGAACGCGATATTGCCTAGCTTGTCAGTGAAGATCGCATGCGATTAATTGCACAGCCCTAGTCCAAACATTAAAAAAACTGTTTATAAACATTTATAAAAATACTTTTTTTATTTCATATGTCAGGTTTTACAGGGTTAATATTATTAACATTTATTACGCTGCATTTAAGCTGTACATTTTATCAGTGTGTCACCTGGAAATTGAATCACCTTCACCTTAATGAATTTTCAAAATGATTAGCAAATACAGGGATGTACAGGGCAAAAGTGAGCAAATGTATTAAGAAGGTCATTTGTCCTGCTACCAACCCTGAAAAATGCCTCTTACTCTCTTTAAACGGTGTTTTCTTTCTAAATAGCTCATCAGCATCACAATTGGTTTTAAAGGCACTCTCGCTCTTCAATCCCCACCAAACCCCTCGTTTTTTCTTCCTCTCTCCCCTCCCTCGCCGCTTGATATTTTCTGCCAGAATTCCCTGTCCTCCCTCTCTCGCGCCCAGCCTCCCTCCCCAGCTCCATGAAACTAATAAAGACAGGATTAATTAGATTGTTGTTTAAACAGTGCGATGCCCAGACAGACGCTGTAAACTCATAACCAGGGATTGAGGATAGCATGGGGTTAATCTCTCTCACACTCGAATAAACACACCATACTCACACACACACATTTACCAGCACCTTTATACGGCCGTGCTCATGTACTCTCATAAATATTGACAGGTACCCACAGATGAACCTGTAGATGCTCATATGGTGTCGATGACAATCTAATCCTTCTGCACATTTCATTAAGCCAAAGCAACTGTCACCATTCACCCAAAATGTGACATAAACCAGTGTGAAGTTACTGTCACACACCTGAACCGGACAACAACATGTTTTTTGTAGATTGGCGGGATTGTTGCTAGGGTGTTTTGGGTAATTGCTGCTTACTGTCCCAAGTCAAAAGTCCCAAGTTTATGATATTGTGGTCTCAGGACCCTACTTTAGTGCAATTATTTTGTCAACCATGTAAAAAACTTCAAAAGCCGCCCGATTTTACATATCATTTTATGACGGTGCAGGACAAGCTATCATTTAAAGTAATAGTTCAACCAAAATGACAATTCTGACAAGAGCTATTCCTTACTTGTGCTTAAGGGTTTGTTTATCCCTAAGCATTAAGAATAGGGATACCTGCATTAGCAGTGACCACTAATGAAATTAAAAGCACATATATAGGTGGCAAATAAAAGTATAAGTTTGATGAACACAAACCATTTTGGAGGTGAGGAACAGATGAAATGCACATTTGATGGATAACACAGACTTCATGACAGTTGCAGAGACGGATGGCGGGAGATCTGGTGTGTGTGTGTGTGTGTGTTGAGGAGCACCGAGTGCAGGAGATGAAGGTGTAGCTCCCAGCATTCCCCACAACCCACTCCCGCCACCCCCCCTCCCTCCCCGACACACCAATATTCACAATGATGAAATATGAGAAAACCAACAGGTAGCTGATAAAAACGTACACATCAGACCACTCGCACGCAAAAGAGAAAGCACAGGTGAGCAGCTAAACCGTTCAGTACTGACACATATTATACTGCCCCAATCATGTCATAGATGCACACTTCAGTGCGCACTTGCTAAGAAATGGCCTTTTTGTTCTTAGCATGCAAACGGTGCTACGCACAAAAATACTGAAATAACAATCGACTAGTGGCATGCATAATTTAATTGTCTAATTATGTTTTGATTGCACTGAGACACATCATAACTTTTGGGTTTATGCTAATAAAACAACTAATTGTGTCATTGTACACTATAAAACTCTCTCGGCTGAATTCAGTTACGTTTATGGATTACTAGTCATATGAAGAACACTTCAACAGGGTTATTAGAAAGTGCACTGTATATCAAGGTGGCAATAAAGTTAAAATGACATTTCTTATGATGCCTTGCAGTGTATTAATGAGACTCAATATTTTTAGATGATCATGTAAAAATCATGGGTGAAAAATAACGGTAACGATTTCATTCCATTTGTTAACATTAGTTAAAGGGATAGTTGACCTAAAAATTAAAATTACCCCATGATTTACTCACCCTCAAGCCATCCTTAGGTGTAAATGACTTTCTTCTTTCAGATGAATACAATCAGAGTTATATTAAAAAATCTCCTGGCAAGGGACAAGCTTGTAAGCTTTATAATGGCAGTGAATGGGAGTCGAGATTTTGAAGCCCTAAAAAGTGCATCAATCCGTCATAAAAAGCGCTCCACACGGCTCCATGGGGTGAATAAAGGCTTTCTGAAGCGAAGCGATTTGTTTGTGTAAGAAAAATATCCATATTTAAAACTTTATAATCCATAATCTCTAGCTTCCGCTAACTGTCGTGCACACATTCACTGAGAGAGTGGCGTACCAGCGGATGACGGAGGACATAGGTGTATAGAATATGTTATTTTGTATGTCTAATTTGTGACTGGTGTTTTATTTTGCTCTCTCTACTGCACTTCCACGTTTGTCCCCGTGTTCATCTTCGTCCTACGTCATCCACGGGAAAGCCACTCTCTCGTGAACACACGTACGACAGTTAGCAGAAGTTTTAAATATGGATATTTTATTTTACAAAAATGCATCGATTTGCTTCAGAAGGCCTTTATTAACCCCCCGGAGCCGTGTGGAGCACTTTTTATGATGGATGGATGCACTTTTTTGGGCCTCAAAATCTCGACCCCCATTCACTGCCATTATAAAGCTTGGAAGAGCCAGGACATTCTTTAATAGAACTCCGATTGTATTCGTCCGAAAGAAAAATGTCATACACCTAGGATGGCTTGAGGGTGAGGAAATCAAGAGGTAATTTTCATTTTTTGGTTGAACTATCCCTTAACTACATTAGTTCATTTGAACTAACAATGAACACTAATTTTTTTAGTATTAATTTCACCATATATCTGTTAATATTATTTCATAGACCTGAACTATGAACTAACAACAAAGAGTATTTTTATTAACTGATGTAGGCAATGATTTATAAATACTGTAACAAATATATTGCTCATTGTTAATGTTAGTAAATGCATTACCTTATGTGACCTTATTGTAAAGTGTTACCGAAATTGAGTGATAACAGTATGATTTACTAATCACTAAAATTCCTCATACACTTACTAACTGCTTTTTTGGGCTGGATTTGCACCAATAGAACAGAGAAATGTTAATGCAATATTTGATCCTGTAATGGACCAAACGTTCTGGATGCAGAGAAAGGAACTGCATACA